AAAACTCATGTCGGTAACGGAGGGAATGAAATATGCAGCACTTTTTGGGCAATAAGTCCAAACAGTGATAACTCTTGGTTCTCACTTCCATATCCTTAACAAACTGGTTTGAATATTTGCTTCATATAGTTTTCTACCATATGGTACAAGATTAGGTTGAAAAACCTCTTACTTTTTGACTCATGAGATTTTTTATTAAGAAAGGTCATGGTAACGGAGGGAAAAGTAACGGAGGAAAATTGTACAAACAAGTAGAAGGTGCAGGATTTTACATCATTTGTCACTTTTTTCTTCTGAATACTTTAATATTACTTCAAAATGAAAGGAAACTATTTCTATAAAATATGTCAGTCCTTCCAAGCAAATTTTTATCATATTAAATAATTTTTTTTTTAAAAATCCTGTCCCTTCATCAACAGTTCAAAGATGGAATAACACAAGATATGATGAAATACATCCATTTATTGACATGATTTGCAGGTCTTTGAAATTTGTTAAATAGTTTTTGTTCCATGTTTCATACATGGTCTGTTTAAAACGTATGGAACTTTAGAACCAAAAATAGTACGGAAAAAAGGTCAACAGTTTCATAAACTAGAGTACATATAGTATCTGTTGAATCCATTTTTATATCAGATGCATTAACTTGAATTTTTGGCCTTGCTGTTTACTTCTGCTTGACCGGGCCCATAGGTATCAGTCAATTATCCAAAATTATCCAAAAAATATTTAACGCTGATTTTTTTTTTTTTTTGTGCACTGCCCCATTGTCCATCATTCCCACATTGTCCCAGTGCATCAGATTTGCATCAGATATCGTATAGGCTCAAAAAATCCATCACATCAGCCCATCCCTAGTAAACTCTAAGTTTATATCCTCATCTATAACCACAAAGGTAAAATACATTCAGATGTGCATTACTGTACACTGACTCTGCTCTGGTGCACAGTATAGCAGAAGCATGGTGTGTGTGTGGTCTAAAACACTCACACAAATCTCTCCAATTCGTTTACCTCGAGAACTCTTGAATGACAAAAAAAAAGACCGCAAACACCTACATTATTAGACAAAACAATGTTCTGTATGACAGCCATTTCCTGATGACAAGACACATTCAGATACAGAGGAGGAAGTGAAAGGAAAAGTCCGGAAAAGAGCAGTGAATTAAGCACGGCGTGCTCAGAGGGGTCGATGGTGACGACTTCCCGCACGGCAGCGTGAAAAATGAAAGGAAACCGCCCATTAAACTCTATTGATCGAAATCAGAGACAGGTTTGTGCTGCAAGTACAACATGTCCCACTCCCACCCCATCTACTGAAAAGCACTCCTGCAGACCGAGACTCCTCACTCCAACTGCACTGAGCTAAAAGGAACAGACAGCAGAAAGATTTCTATGAACAAATCATACACTGCAAAAAAGCTTGACCAAAATGAAAGATATAAACCCGTAAATCTATCAGAAAATGACTTAAAACTAGTGAAATGATCAGTCCATGCAGCAAGATCACTAACTTGACAAGTTCTTACCTCTAGACTAGAATGAAGCAGTCTCTGGTGATTGTTCATGGGCTGGAAATAAGTTTACTGAGCTAAGCTTGAGAGAAATACTCGAGTATCAAGCAAATCTGTATCACTGAATCTAAAAACAAGTCAAGTGTTGCAGGGGAAAACTTTGGTAAATGGGTTGTAGCTTCTTTTTAAACATTTATCGCCTAAATTTAAGATTTTCTCACAAGTTGAGTCATGGAAGAAATATATGTGACAATTCTTAAGATTATACAATTTCCGAACTAGAACTGGAACAAAATTTGATATAAACACGTAAATCTATCAGAAAATGACTTAAAAGTAATGAAATGATGTGTCCATGCAGCAAGATCATTTTACTTGACAAGTTCTCTTAAAATAAACGACCTCTAGACTAGAATTAAACAGTCCCAGAATTAAATGTAAGTAGATAATAAATCTGAAAACAAGACAAATAACCTGATATAAGTTTTAAAATCTTCTGAACAGTGGCCAGTTGAATGTAACAGCAAGAAGAAGGTTCCCTCATCAACACATAGAACAGGACACTGGTGACAAAACAAGTATTAAATAAATGATGCAGAACAACAACATCGGCCATGGCGCATTTTAGCTCAAACAAAGTAAAGCTCCTGCAACAAAAAACAAGTTCATCATCTAAAGGTGGAGGTTTTCTGGTTGAACTCTTGTGTCATAGTACAGAATTAAAGCGGACCTATTGTGCGAAATAAGACTTTAGAACTTTTAAGCATGTGATAGTTCCCTTCTCAATGACCCTCTTTAAGTTCTATTTGGAGTGATTCGTGCATGTTTGAGTCATCTCCTTTCTCTTCTATTCAAGACGTCACTGCTCTGATCTGCCCATTTTCACCACCGGTACACACCCACCAATTTCATTTCCATTCAACAGTGCCACATAGTCAGTTTTGTAATTAAAAAATATAAATAAACAATGTAGCTTGAAGTGCAGCTATCCATCGGGGGTGCTGACAAGTTTACAGCTCTTTGTTGTGATGACGTTTACAGTATACATACGTTTGTGCAGATTTGTTTCTTTTATTGAGTCATTTTTAATACAACAATATGATAACATAATGATTCAAGAGCGTCATAGATTGTAACTACAGTGCAGACTCAAGCAGGGCAGGTTGTGAGTTAAATCTGGAGAAAAGCCACCCCCTCACAGAAAAAAATACATCAATAAATCAATCAATCAATAAAAGGGTTGGGCAATTCTTTTTTTTTCCCATGGGGCCACATGAGAAACAGAAAATATTGTGGAGGGTCAGGTCAAAATGCTGAACTCAATAATGCATAAAATGAACTGTATTTCTTTATAAAAATCAGTAAAGAGCATTGTTTTGATGAGCTGGTCAGATTGGGAAGAGTTTATGTTATGACTAAGCAATGAAAAAGTGAAAATAAAAGCAATGCAGCATTAGTCCACACATGAGGTCAAATGATAAAATCTGTTTATTTTGTAATTCTAAATGATCCCAAACGGGCCGGTCCGAGTCAACAAAAGGGCTGTATGTGGCTCTGGAGGTGGACGATGCTCAGTAGGGCTCTGTATCATGAAGAGGTTGCTGATGCGATACAATCCTCAATACACAGGCCACGATACGATACATATTTGGATACAGTGAGTTTTCGATTTGATTTGATATATTTCAGATCAATTCAATAGGCGAGTTTCAGCTGACGTCATTGTTATTAAAAGCCCGTGTTGCATGCTGGGAAATATTTTGGTCGGAGGCAAGAAACAGGATAACGGTCAAACACAGTGCGTAACCTCGCGTATTTCTCCCCGATAATGGTAAATTCCTGCTGCATTATCAGATGCACAAATAGAAGCACAGAAGAAGGAAAATGTCTTTTTCGTATTCCGAGTGAAAAGAACCGCTCACGGTGAATTAAACGACTTTCAAACATTCGCAGAGCAAACGTAGAAGATCCTAACAAACCGTGGACTCCAACAAGTTCAACAACACATCGAGACTCTTGGAGGTTTTCATCTTTTCTGCTGTGAATGGCCCAGGAGTTTCCACCAAGTCATTGTGGATATCGCCAAAGTGAATATTTGTCCAGGTAGTTGGTGATTCTGACCAGAAATTTGGTTTGGTCCAGACTCTGTCGGGGTTGAAAAGAGTGATTTGGCTCCATCGATGTTTATGACCAATTTCTGGTCAAATGGTCTTGGGTCCTCTGCTGTTAGAGTGGATAAATAACCGGGATCAATACCCTTTACGTGCTTTCTCGCTCTTTCCGTCATGTCGAATTAGTGTTTCTTGCCACTGACCAAAATAATTCCCAGCATGCAATGCGCTTTTTGTCAACAATGAAACTATACAGTTCAATAAAAACTCCTGGCTAAATCATGGCTGTGATACTAAAAGTCTTTGTTAAACCACTTCTTGTGCAAAGTTCAAACATTTTAATAATTGAAACAGTGAAAATGTCAAATGTGTCTCATAAACAAGCAACAAAACAGTAGCACACATTTAGTAAAATACACAAAAAATACTCTTGGCAATACATCGATACATCAGCCCACGATATCAATACTGTATCATCACATTAAACGATACAATATATAGATATTTCAATATTTTTGCACACCCCAAAATGCTCAGGTCTGTCTTAAATATATTTCCAGCCATAATTAGTTCCATTTAATCAATTCAATTCCATACTGCAGAACAAATGTTACAATGGCGACTATAACTATAATCAAAACTATCTGAAAACTGGGAACTGTTTGTTCTAGTTTCTGTACAGACTGAGACATTTCATGCACAATTAGTTTTCAGTGTGTACATGACCAGTGTGTGCATGACAGTGTGTGAAATCTCTTTGACTGTGTGAAACTGTAGACTGTTAGCAAAGTTGGAACAGAAGAATGACATAGGAAGTGTAGCAGACTTCTTGATTGAACTACAACCAAATAGCAGGCCTACACATTTGAATTCAACAGATTTCCATTGTCTTCTCACTCTGCAAACTCAACAGCACCATTGTCCTGCGCTACAACTTTCTCTGCTCGTATGACACTGCAACTTGTCCACGCTGCGCACGCCGCCGCCTCAAGCGCCTCAGTCCGGAGCTCTGACCACCGACCAGCCGCCCACCCTGCGCCTCCTCCTCCATTCATAAACATACGTGGAGTCCCCAAAAGTGAAAGCAAGCCCGCCACCGTCCGCGCAAACGCCTCGGAGTGCCCCAAATACCCACAAAGCGGCACGTAAAGCGGCACGTACAGCACGCCATCCCCTCGCGTTCTCCCGTGTCGCCGTCGTGATGCGTGCTGGCCGCGAGCTCACTCATCCAAAAATCACCGTCATTCCACTGCGAACACGCACTTCACCCGCTCCGGAACCGCTCCACGACCGCTCCACGCGCCCACCGAAGCCCTCCCGCGCGTCCCGACCCCGCAGCAAACACGCCATAACTCCGCTTTTATACCGCACTCACCGTTTGTTGTCCGCTTTTTGACACTTTCTCGGGAGTCTCCCACCGTCGCTGTCACTGCTACGAACCGCCCACCCGACACTGCTCGCCTCCGTCAACGCTGCCCCCGGTCCCGCCCCCCGAGAGCGCAGCGAGCCAATCATGAGTCAATAAAAAAGACGAGCGGGTGCTTTAGCCAATAGAAATAGAGGCACGTGTAGAAAGACAGGAGGACTAGCCAATCAGGAGGGCTGAATCTCCCCAGGGACTCACGGCGTCACTGCTTGCCCTTTTGACAGACACGGCGGACGTTCAATGGAGGCGTTTGACTCCTTTTACGGGACGGTGCGGGTCCAATCGCCCGCGGGAAGGAGCTCTGAGCGCGGCCACAGCCCCAGGAAGAGACGCCCTATGGTCAGACTCGGCACGGCGCACACACAAATGTTGGAATGTCCCTGGGATGTCGGAACACGGAGGAGTGGAATAAAAGTGTAATCAGGTTAAAGTTTTATAGAGTGAAACCATCTGGACAGCAGAAAGTTTCCTGTAATAATGAACAGATCCGTGGAGCTAAGGTACATGTTAGTGATGGTGCAAAAAAGACAGGAGCTGTACTTTGCCCTTTTGGCTTAGAGTTGGTTTAGGGTGACATCTTGTGGTAATGGTGTGAATTGCAGGCTTGTGAAATACTTCTGGTATTTGATATACAGTATTTGATCACTTTTTTCACAGCTTGAGAGTTTTCGAGTGTGTTAACTAGACTGAAAGAATAATTTATTAAATGCATGTATTTTAAAGGTCCTATATTAAACACAAAATCCACATTTGATCCATGTTACAATTTTACCTCATCAAAAACATATCTGGAGTTGGGTTTTGTTCCATGCACACATATTTGAATAGGCTATTCCTTTTTTATTTATTATTATTATTATTATTATTATTATTGGTTGTTATCTGTTTACATTTCCAAAGCATAAAATGCCCATTCCACCTTGTGATGTTACAAAGTGGTAATTTTTGTAGTTTTGTAGTGAACAGCTCATTTTACCTTTGGTTCAGTAGAGATTGGCAATTCCAGGGCTGAACTCATCTAAATAATTCTAGTGAAAGTGTATGTATGGAGTTTAAAAACACAGTGGAGCACTTTCACATGACATCACAAGGTGGTGAAGAGTGTTAAGAGCAGAACTGTGAACATTTGTGAAACAAAACACAACTCCAGGTTTGTTTGTAATGAGGAAACAACATTATAACATACCAGTAGATCAGAAAATAGCATCATATAATTTAGATTTAATATTTGCAGTGTAACAGCAACAGTCAGCGCCAAAATTAATATCCATCCACTTTCTTCCTCTTATCCGGGGCCGGGTCACGGGGGCAGCAGTCTAAGCAGGGACTTCCAGACTTCCTTCACCCCAGACACGTCCTCCAGCTCCTCCGGGGGGACCCCAAGGTATTCCCAGGCCAGCCCAGAGACAAAATGAATATCATTAATATGAATATCATAACTGTAAATGGAACTTGGTTAGTTACTTCCCTACAGGGGCAGTAAAATCTACCTTAACCTATGGGCCTTTTTATCACATTATATTTGCAATAAATATTCCTAATGAGACTGCTCACATAATAATAATAACAATAATAATAATAATAATTATTATTATTATTATTATTATTATTATTATTATTATTAAAGAAGAAAAAATATAAAATTAAATATTTGTATTTCAGTGATTTTCTTCATGTTCAGTATGGTATTAATATGCAGACATTTTTGTCAGTTAGTCTGTTGTCTGTTGTATAAACTGTATGTTACATCTTACCGCACTGTACATATCATATCATATCACAATGAACGTATAAAGAGTAGATTTAGGTAAAATAAGAAAAAAAATAAATAAATAAAAAAAATGTATCCATTTATTCATACTTTGCAGCTGATGTCATCAACATTCCCTGGTGGTGTGATGATTAACTTTAATCTGAGCTTTATTTTAACACAATCTGACAAAAAAGAAATGGTATAATTGGAATTACAACAGGTGAGATGATTTTTACTGTTAAACATATCTTAGTCACTCATGTTTTTGTTGAAAATCAAACACTAAAGACCATGAACATGTATTGGTCACAAGCTCCTGATAATGAGCACTTTAAATCCATTCTGTATTTTTTCTTGAGTTTTCAGACAACCTTAAACATTTCTGGCAACGTTTGCTAATGTGTACATTGTGGTAACTGCTAATTCTGCCACACACATACATGTAGAACACCCCCAGCGTGATGTCACTGTAAAGTATCAATAAAACTACTGTAAACATTGTTTCTTCTCACAGTGAAAGCAGTGACCAGCCCAGTTTGTTTTCAAAGAGGTTTATTGAAAGAAATATTCTTGAAATTGTATAAAGTTCAACCATTGATAATCACACATCAGAACCTGCAGCGTCACCGAGTCTTCTCCATCTTTTCATCACTGATATGAATATGAACCACAACCTTATTAAACATCCACAGAGAACATTATGTCATCATTCCACAGTGTTCCGTCAGGTTGGGATGGGCTTCACTCACATGACTACTGCCTAAAGTTCTTACAGGAACCACATCAAGGCCAGACATATTCATTCATTTTGTGTGGGAATCGTTCACTCTCTGGTCTCAAATAAAAAGTCAGCTGCACTGCAAATATATCCTAAGATTAGTGGTTATTTGTTATCATCAGTTTACTTGCAGGTGCATGGTGAAACTATGAGTACACAGAAAGAAGACGCACACTAAAGGACCTGAGAATCAAACTCGCAACCTCATATCCTCCATCCTTTTTACAGAACACAAAAAATAAATAAATATATGCATCTATTAGTCATTACATCCAACTTTAGACTTGTAACTGCATTGATAAAAACATTTCAGATATATTGTTACCAGAGGTGGGTAGTAACGTTTTAAAGAAATTATACTTTTCAGAGTACCTCAGCGTACTTTTACTCCTACTTGAGTAATATTTTTATTGAAGTAACAGTGTAACCACATCTTACGTTCTGAAATTTACTCTTTAAGATTACATGAATAGTAGTTTCAGCAAATACTTTTTACTTTTTTACATGAGTCATTTCTTGAAGAATTACTTTGTACTTCTGCTTGAGTACTGTTATTTTGAAGTAACATTACTCTTACTTGAGTACAATTTGTGGTTACTCTACCCGTCTAAATTCACAAAGCTTATTTCACTTTTCAAAATGAATTCATACAGCTGGCCATGCACTTAAAAATCTAAACGCCACATCCCAAACACTTCTCAGAACTCGGAAAAGTTATTTATGCGCTTGATTTAAACCCATTTTTTGACACTCTGGGAGTTAAATGAAGCGCTCCTTTGCAGATCCGTTTTGTCCAACACTACCACATATTTGTACCATCTAGAACCATTATATTTGCAGCTATTCCGTACCTCTCTCTCTCTTCCATGAGCTGGAAGTAGAATGTATTTTTATTTAAATATTAATATATGTAAATATAAATAGGGCTCTCCCGTTTTCCGGAAGAATTCAGTGTTTTCACTCTACACACAGTTTGCAAGCATACAGCAAAAAGATGCGCTGCCTGGCCCTGGAACCGCCTCCCCGGACGGTTCTCAGCGCAGCATGCAAGTAAAAATGTGCACGATTCTAAAAGTCTCCTCTTCAGCCTTCACGTTTCACTAGAGGGATGGGACGATATACTGTACTATTTCAGACGATACCGATATTCGATATTTGCATTCCTGCTGTTGCCAATAACCGATATTTGTTGATACCAATGAGATTTTAAGAAACAGCAAGACCCACAAATGTATCTTAAAAAACACATATTATGCATTTTTTTGGCTTTAATTCCTCTTTAAAACAGAACAGATTACACACATTGGAATAAGTATTTCACATTTTCAAACTGAAATAATGTCTGTATTTGGAATTAACAAGCAAAATAATGAATGAATAATGATAATTTTTGTGACATTTTTTGTGACATTTTTTGTGAGGCAACCCTCACTTTTTCATTGCTTAGTCAGAACATAAACTGTTATCAGCCTGAGCAGCTCGTCAAAACTATGATATCTACTGTTTCTTTTCTTTTTTTTATATTAAAAAAAATTCATATTATGCAGAACTGAGTTCAGCATTTTGGCCTCCACAATATTTTGTGTTTCTCATGTGGCCACATGGAAAAAAGAGTTGCCCACCCCTGTACAAGATAATATTACTGATCAGGAGATGGCGCTGCTGACTAAAATCCCAAACCACATCAGCTGGACTGTTTGCCCTGATACTTCATGCTTTATGTAGTTTCCTCTACATGTTCTTTCACTCTGGCCAGAATTGTATGTATTTATTCATTTATTTAAAAAAGGGCTCGGCCCTCCACAATATTTTGTGTTTCTCATGTGGCCCCATGGAAAAAATAAATGCCCAGCCCTGGTTTATGGACTTAAAAACTGCACAGGAGAAGTACAGGTTTTACCTATGATGTAACAATCCAGGCAACAATAATATAACATGGTTAAAAGTTTAAAATGTCAATTTTGCATAATATGTGTCCTTTAAAGGTGACTACGTATCTTTTCTGGTGAAGGATCCACAACCTGATTGTCTCTAGGAGATGCTATTGTTTTACTTGGAATGTTCCACAGTGTGGCATTAAATGTGTCTATATCCATGGAGACAAGCAGATGACACTAACAGGCAAAATGACAGGTTAGATCTGTGGTAAGACAGTCTCACTCACAGTAAGAATACAAGTTTTTGAACACATTTTTGAGCATATACACATAATTGTATAAATGCAAGAGACATACTGTGGGTTTAATGTCATACTGCGGAACATTCAAGGCAACACAATAACACTGGCATGGAAAGCAAACAGAGGATCCTCGAACAAAAAAGTTACACTGTGCACAAATGAACTTTTCACTATTGAAAATGATGGTACCAACATGTATTTATCAGTGATTTAAAACAATTTGTAGCATGATCCTGTAAATATATAGTTATATTTTATCTTTAAAGCTCTTCTATTTCTACTTTTACTCATGAAGACAAATTTCAAAAAGACAAATCTGATGC